TCATGATCCCAGGGTCCTGGGATCGAGCCCCGCATCGGGCTCCCTGCTCAGCAGAGAGCCTGCTTCTCCCTTTCCCTCTGCCTGCCGCTCTGCCTACTTGTGCTATCTCTCTGTCAAATAAATACATTTAAAAAAATCTTTAAAAAAAAAGAAAAAAGAAAGGACTGGTGCTTAAAACCCAGCTCCCCTTCCCCATCCAGGATTCCAAACACACAATAATTTCACCCTCAGTGCTTGTCATTCCAGCCTCCAGTGTCAGAAGGCTCGTGCGCGCCTGGGGTCTCTGGCATCTGAAGATAGCCAACCTGGGGGTGCGGTGGGGGAGCCCTTTGTGCCACAGGATCTGGCGAATTCTCTTCGTGTCTCCATCCTGAAGCTAGGCCCTTCCACCTCTAATCCTGAGGGGCACCACCGGCTGGGGCACACACAGGACTTAGCCCTCAGAGGTTCAAGGACGTGTTCCTGCCACCATGACCCCATTTTATAGATGAGGAAAGTAAGGCTGAGGGAAAAGTGACTTGCCCAGGGCCTCAGCATGAGTACGTGACAGGGCCTGAGTTGCAGGTCAGCAGACCCCTGGGCTTTGCTGGGGCTGCCCACCAGGAGGCCCAGGAGATGGGGACCATGCTTAAACCCACCTGTGGGGACTTTCACCCAGGAGCAGGAGCTCTTTGCCTCGCCTCAGACAGGTGGCACCTGGTTTCTGGCTACTCTCCTGGGCCGGGGAGGCCACAGAGAGCCTGGGAAGCGTTGGGCAGGCCTGTGCTTGAATCCTGGCACTTGGCTGTGTGATCTTGGGCAAATCTCATGCATCTCTGAGCCTCCTCAAGGTGGACACAGTACCTTCCTGACAGCTCAGAGGGGGAAGGGACTTGTCCGGGTTCATACGAAGGCTAAGTAAATGTTGAACTGAGATTCAGACTAGCTTTGTTGACTCTGAAGCCATATTTTCAACCTTGGCTCCCAACTGGGCCGCCCCCAATCCCAATCTCACTGGTCTGAGCAGGTTGGAATGTAGGGGAAGGGAGAGGGGAGCACCGGTGTGCTGGGCCCAGCTGCCCAGCTGTGAACCTTGGTCCCTGCCTTCTGGGGCTGATGAGGAAGCTGGAGCAAACCAGCGAGGCCCGCGAGGCCCGGTCACAGTGGCTGGAAAGACTGGCCAGGGCCAGCTACAATGGGGTAGGCCAGGCAAGAACCCAGGATGAGTAAACTGGGGGCAGGGAGGGCCAGAGGCCTGTCCCCCCGAGGGGGCGAGACAGACCTGGGCCTCCGGCTCGCAGCTTCCTGGAACGGCCGTTGGCTGGACAGCCGCCAGCCATCTCTTTAGGCCATTGGCCTCTTATCTCCCCACAGCAGTGGGAGATGCTGTCGAGAGAGGGGGCTGACTCCACCCTCGCTGGCCAGGGCGGGGCGCCCCCTCTGCCCCAAAGAGCCCGGCCCCACCCCTCATTTTCCAGAGGAAGAAACTGACAGGACAAGGGGCTCGCCGGAGGTCACTAGACCCCCTGTAGCCGACTCTCTTCCCCGACCACACTGGCTTAGGTCAAGTGAATTAGTGTCCTATGGCAGGTGTTCCCAAGTGCCACAAATGTGGGGTCTTAAGACAAATCTGTTCTCTTCCGGTGCTAGAGGCTGGAAGTCTGAACTCAATTTCACTGAGCTGAGATCATGGTGTGCGCAGAGCTGGGTCCTTCTGGAGGCCCCTGAGGAGAGGCCATCTCCTTGCCCCTCTGGGTTCTGGAGGCGTCAGCATTCCTTGGCCCTTTCTCGAATTTCCCCAGCCTCTGCTTCTCATCGTCTCTTCTGGAGTCACACCTCCCTCTTACAAGGGATTGTAATTATGTTGGGTTTTTTTTTAAGATTTTATTTATTTGATAGAGAGAGCACGAGCAGGGGGGAGCAGGAGAAGCAGGCTCCCCGTTGAGCAGGGAGCCTGAGGCAGGGACTCAATCCCAGGACCCTGGAATCATGACCTGAGCCGAAGAGAGACACTTAACCGACTGAGCCACCCAGGCGCCCCATACAATCCAAATTTTTACTTAAACAAAGGAAAAACTTGCCTAGAGAGAGAGAGAGGAGCAATAAGACACTGTGTGAAGCTGCAGATGCTGAAGCCAGATCTGGGTTCAGATCCCACGTCTGTCACTTACTAGCTGTGTGACCCTGGGCAAGTCACTTAACCTCTCTGATGGCTGTTTGCTCATTTGTAAAATGGGGTTGCAAAGATTAAATAAGGTAAAATATAGAGTGCTTAAAACAATGCTTGCCATAAAATAGGCCCCATCTGATATCCATATATTATTTATAAAAATACATATATACATGCACACATGTATGCACTATAAAGCTGCATAAAAAATAATCTAGAAGGCTGTATTCCAAAAATTTTTAAGTGGTCCTATCTCTAGTTTGGTGGGATTGTAAATAATTGGCACCATTTTTTTGCTTACCTGAAAGTTTTATTCATGTCCAATAAACATTAATTATTTGCATAATCAAAGTGAAGTCTTAAAAATTTAACAATCCAACAAACAGAAAAAAGCAAAGTGGAATCCTCCTGATTCTTGGAGCCCCAGCTGTGGCTTGCCCTCCCGAGGGAGACCTCCCTCACTCCCAGGGCAGAAGGATCTCGCTGTTCTCACGACTCCTCTCTTCTTGCTTCCTGGAGCTCTTGACCATGAGCTTCGGGAGCCCGGCTGGGAACAGAGCAGGGAGTGTGTTCTGAGGACAGCAGACCCCACTGGCTGCATTAAACGCCCCCCACACGTCAACTGTGCGCATCGACTCTGTGCAGTCTTTCCATCTCTGACCACACCAACCCGTGAAGGTTAACTGACTTTCAAGGGCTGGCCCAAGGATGAGCAAAGATGGGGCTTGCCCAAGGTCACAGCAGGTATTGGCAGGGTTCCCCCATCCGGCCTTCTACAGCCATCAAGGCCACAGGCACACGCCCTGATCTAAGAGTGACCAAAGATGCAGCAGAGGTTATTGCCTTGGGGCCCTTTCCGCCGAGAGGTGTGACTTTCCCTGCCTGCCCATTTTCGGACCCCTCACCTGCTAAACCCATTTTACCGGTGGGCAAATAGAGTCCTTAAAGAACAAAGATTGTCCCGACAAGATGCAATGCTGAAGTTGGTCACAAGGTGGCAGCATGAGGCCTTGTTTCACATTCTCTACTGCCCTCTAGTGGTTATGGGAAAATACACCCAGGGGCTGGCCCAGGAACATTTGGGGAACCTGAGGCAGGGTTGTCCCCTGGGATGGAAGAGGGGGGATACTCAGTGAAAGAAGCACGCTCGGTCGGTGTCCCCTGGGCCTTGGGTTGACTAGCCATTCTCCAGCCCCAGTTACGGGGAGCAGATCTAGCTAGTATAGTCCTTGGACTTTCTTCAAGGAGACCCTTCAGTGGAGGAGAGGGTGTAGAGGGTGCAGGCGGGTGCCTCTCCTGCTGAGGCACGCTCTGGGATCCACAGGCCACCCCAGGTCCCTGGAGCAAAGGCCTTTCAGGACTTAAGGCCTGACTGATTCGGGGAACAGCATTCCGGACACGCTGGTGCTCCCTTGGCCTGGCCGGTGGGCCCTGGCGCATGCACGCAGCCGAGCACTCTGCAGCTGTGAAGAACGAGCCAGCGTGACATGTGCCCACGCGGACAGGTGCCCGTGACGGGGACGAGAACGAGCAGGTAGCCCACTGGCTCCGCAGGAGAAACGGGAGGCCGCTGCTTCCAAACGTTAGGCTGTTGGCCTCCAGAGGGCTCGCCAGGCCTCTACCTTATTTGAATGTTTACCATCACAAGGAGCATGAATTATTTTTATGTTTTAAAAAAAATTAACAAAATAAAAATTTAAGACTTTCTCGAGAGGCCTGGGGGAATGGGAGAGTCCAGCGAGTAGAGTTCAGCCCAGTGGCCACCTCTTGGGCCTCCAGAGGCCGCTGTGCTCTTCATCTATGGGAACCAGGGGAATGGGGACCCCGACCCTGGGGGCTCTGCTCTGAACGGGGCTCCACTCACAGCGCCTCCTTGCTCCCAGAGCTGGCTTTTCCCTGTCCCAGGGCCCCCTCCCCAGGCCTGGGACCGAAGCCTGGGTGCCCACCTGCTTCAGAGGTTCAGAGGTTCTCAGAACCCTGCTCCCCCGGCGTGTAGAGCAGGACTGGAGCCACTCCAGCCCCTGCTCTGAGCTGGGCGTCCTTCTCCACACTTGACCCGCATCTCACGCTCAGACCCTCGCCATTTCCCCTTGAAGTGGAGGCTATCATTATGCCCATTTGACGGATGAGGATATGGAGGCTCAGAGAGGGACATCACTGCCCAGAGTCCCACGGCCAGCGAGGGGCACAACTGGACTCGAATCCTGGGACACCTCAGGCCTCCCTGCTGCTTATCCTGTGGTGGTGTCCCGGGGTCCCTGTGACACAAAGCCTGCGAAGTCCTTCACCCCAGGCCTGACACCCAGTAAGCACTGGACAAACAGTAGTTACCAGCAGGGCCGGGCATGGCCTCGCTCGGAAGCCTTTGCTAACCAGCAGTCACACACAGCACTCACCCCACGACAGCCTCCAAGGGAGCAGCAAACCTTTTCTTTATTGCAAACATGACACCCAGTCCCAGGGGCAGTGGGAAGAGCCGGAACCAGGAGGAGCCAGGGATGAAATCCCTCATAAACCAGACTATTCCTACTTCCCCTGTCCAGGGCAGGAGCCTGACCCGATTCCCACCCCCAGGGTGTGGACAGAGAGGCCACTGAGAGTCCCAGAGAACAGCTGAAGCGCAGGGAGGCCCAGGACAGGGGGCGGGGTGGGTCAGCCACCTGGGGCTGAGGGGTAGCCTTCTGTGCCCCTCAGGGGGGCTGTGAACACAAATCAAGCCTGGTTTTTGTCCCCCAGCATCCCAGGGCCTCAGCAGGTGTCCAGTGCTAGAAGCCGGAGCGGGGTGGGGAGGCTGGAGGGGTGGGGGCAGGCGAGAGGCAGAACGGTCCCGTCCCCCACTGCACAGCATCAAGTGCTGACCCAGCGGTCCTGGTCCCTGGCAGCCGGCGTCTTCTGCTGTCTTCCACCCCTCCCGGGACACTCAAGTCACTGGAGGGCCTCAGCGATGGCTTTCTCCATCCGCAGGTACCAGGGCTGGATGCGGGAGTGACGCATCAGGTCATCGAAAGCCTCCAGGCCCTCCATCACGCGCAGCACGCCATATACTGCCTGGGGGAGGGGTCAGAGGGGGGTCCATTCCTGCCCTGTCCTCCACGGGTTGTGTGCCCTGGGGCCCGTCACCTCTCCTCTCTGAGAGAGCTCACTAAATGGCCAATTTTGCACTTGGGGCTTTGAGTGAAGTGTGTGGGATTTCTGTGGGTTTTGCCTGCCCTGCACTCCCGACCCGTCTGGGCAACAAACTCCACCTCCAGAATTTCCTTTGGGAAAACGTCCTGCCCCACTCTCAGGTCCTGAGATTTGAGAAAAGGGGAACCCCACCAGCTCTAAGACCCAGATCTGGTGATCAACATATTCCACCCCGGCTTGAGGGATTGCTTCAAGGCTTGGCATTTAAGCCAGGCCAACAAGACACTGTCCCAGGACTTTCGCTGGGTACAAGCAACTCCAAGGGGTTGAGATGCAACAGGTGAGACCGAGCCCTGGTACTGCCACTTGGGCCCCTGGATTCACCTGGGCCTGAAGCCAACCCCTCCCCTGAACCCATCAGTGATGTGAACCAAGACAGTTCCTTGGATGGAGCCGGGTGCCTCCAGAGCGGGAAAGCTGGGAGATGTAGGTATTGCCTACATGTGGGCTTCCTCTGCCCAGAGAGGCCCCTCAAGTCTGGGCACCCCCTGCCCCCACCAGACTCACCAGATCAGCCAGGTTCGGCTTCTCACCCCCCATGAAGGGCCGGTCTTTGCCCACGGCCGCCACCCACTTGTCAGCGGCCTCATAGAGGTCCTCACGGACGTCATCCTGGAGGTGGTGCCTGGTGGGGAAGGGGGAAGTCCATCGAGGGAACCCTCCTCCCAGGTGGGGAAAACAGGAAGGCCAGGGGGCCAGGGCTGCTCCCCCAGGGGCATCACACTTGCAAAAATCAGTTATCATCTGCCCCAGACAGGGAGGCCATGGCCAAAGAAGGACAAGAGACCTGACCACGAGAAAGCAACTGAAGAAGGCGTAGAGCAGACACCCAGGCCAGTCCGCTCCCCCTGGGGTGCTGGAGGCAATCGGAGTTCTGACCTCGAGCCCCCGGCGTGCCTTTAGACTAGGGGCTTGGGGAGAGCAGGCCCCCAGGCGCACACACACACACACACACAAGCATCGTCACCTGCTCTTGAGCCGCTTGCTGATGAGGTACATGGCCGCTGCCCCCATGTACTTGGCCACGGCACCCTCCAATGCCCCGAACTTGCCCTCCCTGACGATGTAGTCGAAGGAGGCCAGGGCCTCGGCAGGAGTGCGGTACACGTTGGGGGAGATCAGGTGCACCAACCAGTCATCCGCCCACTGACGCCACTTCATCTCCTCCCTGTGGACAAGGCGGGGACAGAGGGCAGGCCAGGTGGGCTGCCGAAGTCGGGGCCCGGGAGGTGTGGGAGCAGGTGCACTGTCTAGACCGCACAGCGTATGGGTGGGAAGCTGAGGCTTGAGTAGGAGTTCCTGAAGTGGACTCAGCCCTGGCCGTGGCCCCAGCCCTCCTGGTCTCCCACACTGGTCCCCCTTCCCAGGGTCTCGCTCAGCCTCTCCCCCAACCCCCGGAAAGACCCTGCGCTTGCCGCCTCCAGGGACCTGCCCCGCCTCACTTACGTCCTGGCCTCCTTCCCACCATACATGCGCTGGGCCTCCTTCTCATCCAGCATGAGCCAGTACTTGTTGAAGAATTCGGTCACCTCCTTCCCCTGGTCGTTCACAGCCTTCATGGATGGATAGTAGGTGACGATGTGTTCCAGGGGCTGCCTTTGGGAGACAGCCAGAGTCTCACCCCAACTAGTTCTTCCTCCGGGAGGCTGAGCCGTCGCCTGCCTGGGGTGGATGTCTACCCCGACCTGACCCAGCTCCGGAGGGGAACCACGACCAACCCACGAAAGCTTTCTGGCCTCTTGTGGGTGCCAGAGGAGGTCCTGCAGCAAGAGGGACTTGGGGCGAACACAGAAGCATCTCCGTGACAGAGGGAGATGTGCAGAGGAGAGGAAGGGGGTATTTCAGAGTACAATGCCCACCCTGCTCCCCTGGAGGAACCTGGGGGAGGCCTCCTGGGAGATAAAAGGGACGAAATGCAGTACCAGCCTGGGCCTCTAGGGGCTCCTTACCCGGACACCAGGTAGGTCTTGAGGGCGCTGATGATGACAGAGGAATCGTTCAGTTGTTGCTGGAGGACGAGAGGGTGGTTTAAATTGGGGGAGTGGGTCCTGGAGCCACCAGCAGGATCACCAGAGTTCTTTAAAAATAAACACCTAGGCATTCGAGGAAACTGGTCCCGGTGGAACCTTGGCATTGTTTGTCCATCGCTGGGGGTTCATCCCCAAAATCAATGCCCACGGAGCTCTCCCCGCCCCACAGAACCTAGTCTCCTGGCTCAGGCCCATCCTGAGTAAGGGAGACCCAAGTGTGGCTAATGCGAAGGAGGGTGTGGGGAGGACCTAAGTTCTGGGCCCTGCCCACTCACCTGCCTGGCCTCCCAAGCTCTGGTGGGGGCAGGGTGGACTCTAGAAGCTACACACTAGGAGCTAAGGACTGGGCCAAGCATTCCCTGCCACTGGAGAGTATAGCCCTCTGTTGACTAATGAAGAAGCAAGCCCAGAGAGGCTAAGTGATTGGCCCCAAGTCATGTAACCAGTGAGGGGCACAGCCCCAACTTGAGCCTGGACCACCCTGATTTCAGAGCTCACACTGTTGAGCTCTGTGATGCTCTGCCTCCCTTGGGCCCAGCTGGTTCATAATCCTCAGCAAGGTCCAAAGCACCCACATTGTTCAGAGTTGCAGGGCCTGCCTCGGGTGTACCACAGGACAAACCAGGACGTGGGGGGTTGCTCCCTGAGGCTCACCAAGCTCTCTCCTTCCTGGACCAGCAGGATGGGCACCTTCCTGTAGGAGGAGAACTTGATCTCGGCCCTGCGCACAGGGTTCACTTCTACCACCTGGTAGGGCAGGGCGTGGAAGTCGAGGAAGGCGCGGACCTTGCTGCAGAAGGGACACGTTTTGTACTGGTACAGAGTCAGCTGCAGGCGGCTGGACAGGGAGAGCTGGGCGGGGAGCAGAGGGAGGGGGGCTTCTGAGGCCTGGTGCCCAGGCCCCACCCCCAAGCAAACTTCTCCCAAGGGAGTCTTCTAGGATGATCCTGAGAACATCAGGAGGAAGGGGGGTAGGTGGCAGAGAGAAAGGGAGACACAGGGAGGTGGGGGGCAGGCTTGTGCAGTGGACAGTCCATCCTCAAGAGCCCATACAACACCCTCCTCAAGCAGGAAGTATGGGTAGGATGAATCTTCCGGTCTCTGTTCAACATCAGACACCTCTCCTCTCCCTCCTGTCCCAAGAGGACATCACAAGCCCCCTCAGGTGTGCCACCCAAACTCCCTCAACCCAAGGGACCCTCTGGATGAGGGGGCAGAGCCCAGCATTTGCCAAAGTGGGGTCTACCTCAAATCTCCAAGGGGGGAGGGTTGTATCTGGGCCTTGGGCCTGGATCTGCGAGTTCAGTAGGTGAGCTCCAGGTAAGCTCGCTGCATATTCTTTTTTTTTTTTTTAAAGATTTTATTTATTTATTTGACAGAGAGAGAGGCAGGGCGAGAGGGAGCACAAGCAAGCGGAGCAGCAGAGGGAGAAGCAGGCCTCCTGCGGAGCAGGGAGCCCGATGCGGGGCTCGATCCCAGGACCCTGGGATCATGACCTGAGCTGAAGGCAGACGCTTAACGACTGAGCCACCCAGGCGCCACCAAGCTCGCTGCATATTCATGTTTAAAAGCCACAGCGGCAGTCCACCTCCCTCACTATTCAGATGGGATGCTGAAGCTGGACCACCGGGGTGGGCAGAGACAGAGAACTCCACCCCCCTCCTACCACCCTGCTCCCCTGAGCCCAGGAAGGCGGCACCCGTGCCATCACTGGGCTAGGGGACACCTCCCTGCCCCTGTCTGTCTCAGGGCCTGGAATCTAAGGGTCATCTCCCTAAAAATACTAACACTAATAAACAAATACACAACCTTATGATCTGAAGACGGTGGGAGGGTTTAGGGAAAGTTCATTATTTCCCAGACGACAAAATGTTTACAAAGTAATAAACTCTGAAGGAGGCTTTCTTTCCCTTTCTTGTAATCTCCTAATCTTTTCATTAGAAAAGTCTAAAAACACGTTAGAAAACGACCTGAAGACGAAGACAACAATTCTAGTTAGCAGGCAACAGTGGCGACCCCATTGCCCAGATGAGGACGCTAAGTGCTCAGATACTTAAAACCAAGTCACTTGCCCAAGGTCACTGACGAACGGACGGAAGAGGTGATACCTGACCCCGCCAGAAGTCCCGAAGTTCGGCGCTGGCCCCAGCACCCCTACCCGCGGCTGGGTGCGGCCCGGGCTTACCTGCGCGGCAGAGCGCTGGGCGCGGAGGTCCTGGGCGCGCAGGTGCCACCGCGCGGTGTGGTACAGCCCCAGGACGCCCCCCAGGGCCAGCGCCGCCG